CCGTTGGATGAAATCCAATGGCTCTAACATACCCCTCAAAAAAACCCCTTATAACTTTCCCCTCACTATAGAAGCTCCCCCAAGTGAAGGCATTTCATCAACAGGTCGGAGCAGGCCCGGCTTTCTTCTTCTTCTTTTTTTGGTTATATTGGGAAGAAAGAAACCGGTTGGGGTTTCGAACCTGGGTTGTCAAGCAGGGGGAAGGGGGAGGCCACTAGTCTTCCATGTACCTATTCCACAGTATGCAGTTTAAAATGCTGTTGATGTCAACTTTCATTCTACTTGGTGCCATGGTGGTATGTCGGATGTGGAAGCAAAATATCTCATTCTAGGTCAAATAATTAGGCCAATCAATTTGGGAATTATTTGACTTAATTGGGAGTTACCTAGCCTAATTGGGAATTATCTGAATTAATTAAGAGGTTATTTGATTTAAATTAGATGTCTTTGATTTTTGTCTTAATTAGGGATTTGATTAAATCCCTAACCCCTAAATACACCAACCACACCAACCCCACCAACCTCGCCAAATTAAAGCCTCTGAGACCCTCTATAAATATGGGCTACACACGAGGATTGAGGTACGTCTGAATTCCTACTGAAACTCCGCCTAAATTATTTCTCATAAACCCTTCTCCCTTCATGTTCTTTCTCTCTCTCACACAAGGCTCCAGTTACCACACACGACTCCGGCCACCCGGTTTTCCTTGAAACACCAAACTTAACTTAAGCACCGGAGGGCCTTTGGCCAACACCCCTGGGTGTGGTCCTTTTACTCCGATTTGTTTTCCATGGAGAAAGGGAAGCGGAGAAGACGAAGGAATCTTGGGCGAATATTCTCGTGGGAGGAAATTTGCTCCCACATCGGACATTGCATAGTTTAAATTTTTATGCTTTATGATATATATGAGTATCAAAATGGTGACGATGGCCATAATTCATTGTGGTTTTTTTTTTTTTTGTTCAGTCGTCTTTCTGGGGAAAAAAAAAAAGGTTGTGGCGTGATTACCTCATGGCTTGTCTTATTCCTTTTGATGCTCGTCGTGTATTCTGATGGGTCACGCAGTCACAGGAGGAGAAAATGACATGTTAAGTAATTAGGGACAATCCGTGTGGAAACACCAGTTCTTTGATAAAGGGGTAGTCTAAACTACTTTAATCTGCAGACATGGGTTCGAACTTGAGTGTAAGGGTGCAGAGACAGTGCCTTGGCATGATGGCTTTAACTCACATCTGCGTGGAAACAGTCTCTGTCATAACTTTTTAGAAGCTATTTGGATAACCGGATAGTACCTTCTGTGTGAAGTTTAGATTAGGTCATACTTGTGATTAGAGTTATTTAATGAAAGCGAAGGAGATCAGAGTTCAGGACATATTCCAATATTGGGAAGATGAATTTCATAAGATCAAGAAAGGATTGAATTGAAATTTTACCCAAAACTGGAGGTACAAGTCGTAATTAACTCAAAAAAGAAGCACTAATTGACTTGATAACCTAGTTACACAGTTACATGTATTAATGAATGTACCATCTAATTGAATGAGCTAACTTTGCAAACCAACTAATTCCGAATTGAATATTGCTATCTGAAATATGCTCCTAGATTTTTAACATTCCTCTCCTCTGCAGAACATCCTTGTCCTCAGGAATAAAATTCTAAACACTGTGCTACAATAACTTCCTTAATTCTCTTGCTTGAAAGAGAGCTTGGTTTCTTCCCATAGTATCTCGTTCTTTGAAAAGAGGTGGACAAAGAATGGAGCAACTCAACAATTCAACAGTTCTTGAACAAGAAAATAAGTATAGGAGACCATGATCGGTCTACTGTCTGAAACTCATAGCAGATCCATTTCTCAACTGATAATTTGGAGATGAAGTCTCGGATGGTCTTCAGTTCTTCCCTGAACAGTAAAAAGAGATGACAAATCTAAAGCATAAGCGTGGAAGCTCTAACAACTCAAATGAAGCAACATGAACTATGGAATAGAGTATGTACATGGAATTTGCAAATAAATAAAAGAAGCACAAGGAAGCAATCTTTGCACAAAACAATTCACACCCTCGCATCAGTTTAAACCCACGCACACCATTTGCATAGTTTGATCATCAGCCAACTATATATACATATATTCGTTCAAGAACAATCAAATCAATCCCAACTTACAATAGAATAGAAGTGTACAAGAGGAATGCAAATAGTGTGTTTTAGACTCTCCACTTCACTGTCTGCAAGCACATCTAACGAATGAAAGCTTATTTTAAGTAATGAAACCCTTTCAACTTCCAGTACCTCAAAAACTCACACACCTTACTCAATTTTAGGTCAACAGATTTTTGAATTATAGTCAGTAACAACCCCATCATTTCCAATCCAAAAATAAATATTATAATTTGATCAGGGATCCATCCAAATCCACACCAGCACTCTAAATTATTTTACCAACCATGCAAATTTTATAGAATCACTATGCATTCATCTCTACCACCTATGCATACTTTTCCTATAACCAAATTATCCTCTCTGTTCCTGGACCATCCCTGAAAGTTACATAAATTGTGATTTATGACCTTATATAGCTTTCCATAAAAAGAAATTAATTTCTCTGCACATTTTTATGCCCCAAAACCCATCACAACCTGTTGACGGTAGATATTGTATTCCCACTTCCTGATAACTGAGACATGGTAGTACTGGACCTCCTTACCTCACATTAGGTCTACAAGAGAAACATAACCAAGGAGATATATTCGACTATTCAGGCTGCCAAATGCTTAAGTTAATCAATTCAACAACCATGCAGATTAGACATGTGTGCCCACAGTTAGAACAAGCAAGTCAGGAGCATATGACAAAACTAAACTTATACGTATCAAGTCTAAAAGAACAAATAATGTACAATATGTTGGACCCTTTTTGCCAACACAAAGCATATTGGATCCATATCAGCAAAGCAATAAGAATTGTCCAATTTGGAAATCTCCAACTCAATCACCAATCTCATAAATCAATATTAATAAAAATTTCACGAATCAAGCACAATCTTGGATACTGCACTTTCTGTTTCCCTGACTGGAACATGAGCAGAAAGCTTCTATTATGATCTACAGTAGCATCGGTGTCCTAGAATTCAATCCACGTTATTTGTTTTGAGCCTAAAAACAGATCATTCTTCATTCTGAACATACACAAACTTAACAAGAGTCCGAGACTTCCAATTTACTAGTCACAGAAGACTTCCAATCTCACTCTCCCTCTCCCCTTCCCCCTCTCTCCTCTCAGAGCAAGACCAGAACGTAAAACCCAAACAGCCTATCTCACTCCTCTAGTACCTAAAACTAACCACGTATATCTTAATCCAATTCCAAACCAAACTGAAGGGGAAGCATAAATGATGGCTTCATCTACCAGACTTTATAAAATAAAATAAAAGGGGGTTGATTGAAAAGCCAAGCTTCCAACTGTTGCTTTCATTGCACAAGAAGTTCCTTAGAAGTCATGCTCCCACTAAACACTCAAATTCAATAGGGCAAAACAATTTTCCCATGATATATAACATACTCATTGTTTTTAGCTACAAAAGAACTATTCCTTTGTTAATAATAACAAGCAAAATATTTCAGGCGTAGTTTGGGAGGAACTTAATTGAGCTTATATTGGCCTAACTATCCAACTTTATCTGTTTATTTATTCTAGTATCTTAAACGAAAATTACTCAAGCCATTGTTATAGGTTTTTCTCAACCTGCATAATGAACGTAATAAAAACCAGGGAGCACAAACTAGCATACAGAGTGAATAAAAATAAAATTTGAGAACAGAACTGTTACCATCCACCAGGATGCCCCACATAAACCACTAAACTGATAAGACCTCCGGGCACCATGATACTTTTTGCAACTTCCAATGCCTTCAGTGTTGTTTCTGACTGTGTGATAATTGTTTTGTCACCCCCAGGAAGATAGCCAAGATTGAAAGCAACAAGCCTAATCACCCACGAAATCAAACCTTTCAGGAAGCAAGTTTTCTACTAAGAAAAATAATGCAGTAACACGTTCGATAATATTTCCATACAATATGAACATGATATTAAGTATAATAAACATTAGTCGAATATTCAATAACTTTCCTGGTTAATATACAGAACACATTCCGACTTCAATAAAGAGGAAGCAAACAATATGAATACCGATAAGTTTATGATTATACAAATCGAACATAAAACAGAAGTACAAAAAGCATTTGCATTAATCTTGGCCATTAGAAGAAATTTAACAGCCTAGAGTTTCTTTCTTATTTTAGCTCTGAGCACGTTTCTCATAAATCAAATGCCAATTGCATTAAGATTTTAAACACAGAACCATAAGATAGGAACATCATAGTGAGCACCTAACAGATGTATCTTTTGGAAGAACTTCATCCATTTTACTGTGGCATTTGGAGAAGAGCTTAATAGGTTCTTTCTGCATATAATTGAAACTAAGGAGAATTAGCATACATCCACAACCTTAAAAAGAAAACACATCACGAGATTGATACTATGTTCAGTCCAGTCCAGACATCCAATGCACAGAAGGGTACCTCACTTGGACTGACCGACTCTTCCAGCAAAGAAGAAGTTTTCTGTAAAGCAGCTTCCTGAACATCCAGCCCGTAAACAGAACCCTTACACGATTCATCAGCAACCATCTTGAGCATTGCTAAGGTATCATGACCATTGCCACAAGTGGCATCAATGACTGTATCTCCTTTTCGGACAACACTTTTCCAAACCCTGTTAAGAAAACTAGAAGGTATTAATTAAACAATATTCTTACGAAAGAAATATAAAAATATGAAATCAATCTATTGGCTGAGAGTGTTGAGAAATGTAAAAATATAATTTCAAGCACTCAAATTTTTCAAAACTTGATGTATGTTAAAACAACTGCTAGGGCAGAACTGCAGATAGACTAATGTCAACCCTAGTCAAGTGCATTTATAAGCATAGCTAATTGAAGCCTATACGAAAAGGCTTTCAGCAGCCAAGCTAAGCATAAACAGCATATGTCAAAGAGGATAATGCACACCAAAAAAGCCAGAGATGCTTGATAAAGTTAAAAATCAGAAGTGGGTTAAGGTAGGCTCAAATGTAGATATAGTAAATCCTCCAATACAAAATACACACATATTTTGGGAAATTAGTCATCAACTTCTTACAAGTGAGAAACTTCTGTGGCCCTCTTCTTGCCCAAGATAAAGCTCACCAGTAAATCCTCCAATCCTGAATTGTGGTTCAAATTCTAATAAGTGCTTGATTTAAAAGATTTTAACAATTCAACTCACATTTTCTCTTTAATTCAAATTCGACTTCACTCCAAAATCAAACACATTTAACTTTATACGATACACAATTCCTCATATAATCATATTCCAGAACCACAACTCACAAACCACTACTCTGTTTGGTACTGGGAAAATGAACAATTCAAACCACACATACCCTCCCTCCTCCTGCCCAAAGAAAAATTAAGAAGAAACAAAAAAAGATAGAAACTTTGACTATAAAATTGAGCATTTGTACTATTCGGGAGTTAAATAAACAAAATGCCATTCATAAGTCTTCTTTTTTTCTTTCATCAAATTTCTTAGCAGCCAAACAGTTCATAGCCATATTTTAGATAAAGGCAGCATCATATCTGCGTACTTGTGATGACAAAGAAAAAGGGGGTTAAGAGTACCAAACAGAGGAGAGTCTTTGGGGAGAGAAACGGAAACGAAATCATTGGTCTTGCCAGTGAGAGATGTTGAATTCGCAGGGGTCCTCGAAACGTTTCGGTCAAAGTGGTCTCTGGGGCTATTGCCATTCAGCGAAACGTTTCGCGGATAGGGGAAAACGAACCACCGTGTTGAAGATATTAGAGGTTTTTGTATCGCAGGCCAATGCGCGCCTAATCTCAGCGGCAGTGCCAACATCTCTTATCTCTTTCGGGCTCTCTTAGGCCATCCCCAACTAAAAGGGATTTTCAGCAATACCCCTGAACTATTACGCTAATCCAACAAATTTAATCTCAAAATTATTTTTTGGCTTTTTATCACAAATGGTCCTTGACGTTTACGAAATTATCACGAATGGTCCTTAAGGTTTTTTTGTGACGCTAATAATCCTTAACGTTTGGACTTTTTATCACAAATAGTCCCTACTGTCATAAATTCTATTAAGTGTCTAATGTAAAAGATAAGTGGAACCCACATGTCCAATCACATTGTGACATGTGGATTAAATAATAAAGAAATATTTTTTATTTATGAAAATCCATTAAAAAACCATTTAGCCCCTCTCTCTCTCTCTCTTTCTCTCTCTCTCTCTCTCTCTCTCTGTTTTTTTGTTGCCTCTACAACCCGATTGAAGATTCTTTGTTGCCTTTACAAACCTAATAAAACCTAAATAGTCATTTGTTGCCTCTGTTTCAATTCTTGCACTGAATGGCTTAATCATTTGGATCAAACAAACTTTTGATATAATTTTTCCATAAAAATAAGAGAAGGCTAATTAACTTTCGGACTATATGTAGCAGAGGGGTAGAGAGCAGAGAGCGAGGGCAAAGGGAAAGAGAGAGAGGACATCGGGAGAGAGAGACTGAGTATAGAGAGGGGATGGGAAGTTGCACAAAAACATGAATTTTTATTATAAAAAATATTTCTTTATTTATTTAATCCACATGTCACGATGTAATTGGACATGTGGCTCCACTTATCTTCCACATCAGACACTTAACAGAATTTCTGACAGCAGGGACCATTTGTGATAAAAAGTTCAAACGTTAAGGACTATTAGTGTCACAAAAAAACCTCAAGGACCATTTGTGATAATTTCATAAACGTCAAGGACCATTTGTGATAATTTCATAAACGTCAAGGACCATTTGTGATTAAAAAAAAACCTTATTTTTTTTAGCCAATTTTGTCCGCCAACTATATTAAATGGTCAATGTAGCACCTACTATTAGGGTTGGGCATCAATCTGGCCAAATCGATGAAACCGGCCAAATTAAACTGTGATTGCAAGTTTTATTTGATTTTGACTAGTAAAAAATCAAATGTTTAAAAACTGAACCGAACCGTATATGGTTTGATTTAGTTGGATTTTGAGTTTATATAAACCGACTTAAACCAAACCAAACTGTTTACGTGTATATTTATTATATATATTATATTTTACATGTGCAATACTCTAATTAGGTAATAACTATATATAAATATTTGAATTGAGCTATATTAGTAATTGAAATTTGAAGTTTGAAGTTTTATGGCATGTTGAGCTTTAGGATGGTTTCGTACTCTAGAAAATTATTTAAGTATGGAGCAAGTTGTGAATTTGGTAGTTGTAATTGAGCTAACAATATTGAAAAAATGCAAAAGGAAAGAGAATTAGACTTGGGCACAAACCGTATTAAATTGGTTTCGTTTGGTTCAATTTTCTTTATGACTTCTGTCAAAATTGAACCTTGCCCACCCCTACCTACTGTTAGTTTTTATTTAAATTTCCTCTAAAAAATCATGTGAAAGACATTTGACTTACTATTTGTTTTTTTTTTTTTTTTTAAATGAGCTTATGAGTGACACGCTCAAAGAATTCATTCTATGGAACAAATGTGAGTTAATAAAAGGTGCTTTTAAACGAGCCCTGAAATTAACTGAGTACACACTTTGACCAAATTATTTATTTAATTACTAATTTATCATAATATAAAATGACAAAAAAAGATATATTGAATTTTGAAATAAATGTAATTTTAATAATTACACCATACTCACCATATTCAATCATAATCAAATGTCATAAGCACACCATAAGTACACCATATCCAAAAACCTTCGTTTGGGTCGAAGACGGCCTCGCCATTGATGCTAACTCAACCTTCGTGCAATGCAGTGCTTCTTAAATTGCTCATCCCACTTCAAAGAGGTGACACCGTCGTCATCCTTTGCTCATCGGGCTCGAACTAGTCGAGCCCATTTTGGGGTGCCAAAGGGCTGGCCTTTTGAGTGTGCCAATTTCCCCACCTGGCCTTTCTTTCACTAATCAATGAAGGAAACATGCATCTAATGCTTAGGAAATGAACTTTAAACACAACTTATACAACAAAAACATTCTAAATCGCAGATTCATTTTGTTTATATTAGTTGAGCTAAACCTTTTTCATTTTAAACCACATATCTTAGCCTAGTCTCTTTGAACACAAATAGAAAAGGGAATAGATATTTACCCTTGATGACCTTTTCTTGATTTCTCAAGAATGAACACCTTTGTTGGAAATGCCTTTTCTTTCTCTTGATTTTGACTCCTTCACCTTAAGGCTCTAAGATTGAAGTCATCTACCTCACAACACCAAATGCTCATAGAGATGAAGAGAAGGCAATCAAGAAGTAGACCAATTTTTGGTTTATGGAAGATGAGATACAAAGATGATCACTCATCAACCAAAGTAGGAAAACTAAAAACCCTAGCTAGGTTTTCTCCAACACTTAACTTATATAGGACAACACAAAAGGCAATTGGGTGGGTATTTGGGGCTCCATTTGGTCCATGGGTCATGTCATCTTATGCCACTTATCCTTTGGGCCCAATAACCTTTTGGGCTATTTTGTCCCTTTCCTTTTAAATCATATTTAAAAACCCAATCCAATATTTCTATATGTCAATATTAATTCCATAATTAATCTTTTAATTATAATTTAACTATTAAAGTATAATTATAGTCTTACTTAATTGACCTGGTCGAACTATTTGACTTTGGTCAATTGCTCCGTTCAACATGTTGACTTTTTCCCATTGACTTTGACATTTGATTATAAACCATTGACTTGTGTCTCCTCATTTCATTTCTCCTCATTTGTATCTCTAATCACATTCTTTGGGTGTGCAGATCCGTAGGTTCCATTTAGCAAGGTAGTGGGTTGACTCAATTCCTCAGAAATGATATACGAATTAAATTCCACAATTAAATTCTTCTTATTAATAGAGGTTAATTGAAACCTTATAGGACATCCACAAACCATGATTATTGCCTAGCAACAAGTCACGGTTATTCAAGCTAAATGAGACGTTGTGAAAGAACCTATTCAAATTGGAATGACCATGCAATTGAATCCTTCTCTTATGTCAATACTCCTTATTCACATTATTAGATCATGGAATCCGATTGTCAATATCCTAATGTGAATCATGCCTTTTATATGATTATCCTAGTAAGATTTGAAGACTTCTTCTTTCAAGTCTTATCCACTACTCTGCGCAGAGATTTGACCAATCATATCTTAGAGTATTCTCTCTCATTTACTGAGAGTAGAGATTCCTTATTGTACATTCATTTGCTTCCATGACTTTATTGAGAATCCTGATGAGCACATTTAAGCTATGCCTAATTCAGTATGACTGTAGAGTGCCTTCAAAGATTAACAATATAGCCACAAAACATCTATGATGCCTCAGATCTAAGGATTAGTTTGCACCATTGCAATCTATGAGTTCCAGCTTGACATGTGAGTGAAGACTTCCATGCTGTAACTCATGTGTTGGATCGCGTTCAGTGTACTTGTTCTTCTACAAGTACCTACACACATATCGATGTGTCTCCACACTTAATGACTTGAGACCTTGCCATTGCCTACATATAGAGACGATACTGTGTGTACTGGTCTTTGCAGAATATTGACGCCCAATCAATATTCCTATAACCAGGAACATATTCAGGATTTAGGGATGATGAGAAGTCTCCATGTATGCAATCTCATTACATAGCTCTCATATCCACTTGTGAATTTCTTGGACTATGGTTGTTCTACATATTGAAAGATAATATAGGATGATGTATAAAACAACCTTTCTTGCACATTGATAACATAATATGTCTTTTATCAAAGATGCCCTTAACTCTAACTATTACATAATTAGTTGGCTTTAAGGGCATATTTCTAACAATTAAGACTTTCACCACCTTTTAAGAGCCCTCTCCCAAACAAAGCCTAAGGCTGCCATAGCTCACCCCACTTACATCACAAGCATTAACAACTTCATATCTTCCTAATCCTCCAATAAAAAGCAGGTTCAATTGCTCACAATGTTAGGATAGCTAGAAAGGCCTACCATCTTCACCTGAATAGCGTGATTGTTTCATGGTTACCGTAGTACCATGATTGTGTCCTCATGTTTCTGTTGCTAACAATTTTGTCTAGTGCAACAAGCGTCTTGACATCACCAGCTACATTTGTTAGTTGGCCAAGGCTGTGGCTTGAGCTAATTTCACATTTTAAAGCTACTTGCACTTTAGTTCCATCGTTCGCGTTGGTGCTAGTTGTCAAGCGCCGGTTGAGCAATTTATCAATGTGTTTAGAACCATTGGGTTGAACCCATCATCCATTTCTCCATCTTAAGCCTAGGCAGAGAACTGCACGTTTTTTTTCAACAACTTGAAGACCATGCAGCACTGACGTTCCCAACATGCCATCATACAACAAGCTTTCGATAGTTCACCACCAAAATTTTCGAGAGAGAACCACTGGAAGTCTAAGGAGGTATTCGGTGGGGCAATGGCGAACGCTAAGAAGAACGTTTTGCACACCAAGGCCAAAGGCGTTGCGACTCAAGATTTCCAGTTTCGAAAATTTTGATATACAATCTTAATCAAACCTAATTCATAACCCAAATACAAACCAATGCCAAGACTATAAGGTAAAATTGAGTATAATATTTGACAAAACGTGGAAAGAATAAAAAATCAGTTACATACCTTGAAGTTCGGTAGGCAGCATTGGTGGGTTAAGTAGCAAGTTCGGCAACAAGGTGGGTTTGGTGGTCTAATAGTGTTCGGCTCGAATGAGTTTGATGTTGTGTGATAGAGTGTATTAGGGTGTACCATGGGTATTTTTGGTAGTTGTAGGGTGTGCGTAGTTAAATTTACTTTTTGATTTAAATATTATGGTGTACTTAGATCATAGGTGTACTCAGTTAATTTTAGGGTTTGTTTAACA